GAACACTGATTGGCCACCTCCTGCATGCCCCCTACTGGGGATCAGGCTCACAACCTGGGCATGTGCCCTGACCAGGAATCAAACTGGCAACCTCTTAGTGCATGGGTTGACACTCAACCACTGAGCCACACCTGCTGGGCGATTTCTATTTGATTTTTATTCATGATTTCTACCTCTTTTTTTGTTCCCTGCTAATGTAGTTTCTACTGGGTTCTTTATAATTCTCATTGAGCTGTTTATAATTCTCACTAAGTTGTTTGAATACCCTTATAACCATTAATTTGAATTCTTTGTCTGATAAATTGCTTGCCTTCATTTTATTTAGTTCCTTTTCTGGTGATTCCTCCTTTTCTATCATTTGGGGGTCTTTTTTGTCTCAACATTTTATCAATCCTGTGGTTCAGGGCCAGGTAGGGTGGACCAGGTCATGAGAGCAGGTTGTTTTGTCCAGGGGAATTAGTTTGTGGCAGGTCACGCATGCTCAGATTCCATACAGTTGTCTGGGGGCACTAGTGGCTCTCAGTGATGGCAGCGGGGTTGTCACCTCTTTACTGTAATGGGGGCAGTGAAACAGTGGCTGTCTGCTGTGGTGGGGCTTTGTGGTGTCGGCAGCTCATGGATGCAATGGGACTGGTAGCTTGCTGCTGCTGGTGGGTCCCATGAGGGTGGCAGGACCCTCTGCTGCTGGAGAGAGGAGGTGGGACTGGACATGTCTATCTGTGGCCTCAGGGTGCTGGGTCTCTACTATTCCCTGCCACCTTCTCATGTGTAGGACCCTCCAAAATGGTGCTCTCTCTGATCCTGAGAGGGAAGAAGCACCCAGCCAGGGAGTGCACTTCTGCTGGCAGCTCCCTCCACTGGAATGCCCAAGCAGCTCACCCTGAGTTCCCCCACCAAACAGCAACTGCTCACCCACACACACTTTCTCACACACGCTTTCTCACATACATGCTCACCCACTTACACTCTCACCCTCATTCTGATTCTGCCTGCCCATGTTGGAATCTGAATTCTAAACATCTTTTTATATATCTCTTGACCATTTTTGTGTTCAGGTCCTCTGCCCATTTTTAATTGAATTACTTATTTTTTGCTGTTTAGTTGAATAAGTTCACTATATATTTTGGATATTAGCCCCTTACTGGATGTATTGTTTACAATTATGTTCTCACATTCTGTTGGCTGTCTGTCTTGTTGATTTTTTTGTTGTTGTTTATGGATTTTTTATTTGTGCTGTGTAGAATTTTTAAATTTGATATAGTCCCATTCATTTATTTTTGTTTTTACTTCCCTTGCTTTTGGGGTCAAATTCATAAAATCTTCTCTGAGACCAAGATCTGTAAGTTTAATACTTGTGTTTTCTATGTATATAATTGTTTCAGGTCTTGAATTTAGATCTTTGATCCATTTTTGAGTTAATTTTGGTGTATGGGGTCAAACAGCAATCTAGGTTCATCCTTTTGCATATGAATTTCCAATTGTCTCAGCACCATTCATTTAATAAACTTTTGTTTCTCCATTGTATGTTTTTGGCTTTTTGGCAACAATCAGTAGTCTACATACATGTGGGTTTATTTCTGGGCTCTCAGTTCTGTTCAGCTGGTCTGTGTGTACCTGTTTTCCTGACAATAACATACTGTTTTGATTATTGTAAATTTGTAGTATAATTTGAAGTTAGGGAGTGTGATAATTCTATATTTCTCTTTTTTTCCCCCTCATGATTGCTTTGGCTATTTGGGGTCTTTTGTGATTCCATTGAAATCTGATGATTTTTAAATTCTATTTCTTTGAGAAATGTCCATGGGATTTTCATGGGGATTACATTAAATCTGCATATTGCTTTGGGTAATATGGCCAGTATAACTATGTTGATTCTTCCAATTCATGCACTCAAATGTCTTTATATTTCTTTGTTTATTCCTCATTTTCTTTCAGTAATGACTTGTAGTTTTCAGGATAGAGATCCTTCACAACCTTTTAAGTTCATTGCTAGGTGTATTTTAATCTTTTTGTTGCAATTGCAAAAGGAATTTTTTTTTATTTCTTTTTTTGAAATTTTGTTGTTACTACATAGGAATGCATTGATTTTTGTATCCTGCAACTTTACTGTCTTTGTTTATTTGTTTCTAGTAGCTTTGGGTCAAGTCTTTAGGGTTTTCTGTATAAAGAATCATGCCATCAACAAAAAGTGACACTTTTACTTCTACCTTATCTTAGAGAAAAAGCTTTCAGTTATTCACATTGAATATGATATTAGTTGAAGGTTTATCAAATATGGCCTATATTATATTGAGGTACATTCCTTCTATACCCACTCTATTTAGCACTTTAATCATAAATGGATGTTGTATCTTGTCAAATGCTTATTTTTGTATCCATTGGTCATATGATTTTATCCTCTATTTTATTAATGTTGTATAGCACATTGATTGATTTGCATATGTTGAGCCTTTCTTGTGTCCTTGGAATGGACCCTGCCCCTCCCCTTTGACCATGATACATTATCTTTTTAATATATTGTTGTATTTGATTTGCTAGTATTTTGTTTGGGATTGTTATATCTATAGTTATTAGAGATATTTGTCTGTAATTTTCTTTTTTGTGTGTTGTCTGCCAGGTTTTGGTATCGGGATAATGTTGGCCACATTAAATAAGTTGGAAAGTGTTGCATCTTTTCAATTTTTTTGGAAGAGTTTGAGAATAATAAGTATCAAATCTCCTTTGAATGTTTGGTAGAATTCACTAATGAAGCCATCAGGCCCCGGACTTTTACTTTTTGGGAGGTTTTTGATTACTGTTCAATTTTTTCACTGTTGATTGGTCTATTTAGTTTTTCCAGTTCTTCATGATTCAGTCTAGGATGGTTATACATTTCTAAGAACTTGTCCATTTCTTTTAGGCTCTTGATTTGGTGGTATATAGACTTACATAGTATTCTTGTATAGTCCTTTGTATTTCTGTGGGATCCATTGTAACTTCTCTTTCATTTATGATTTTGTTTGAATCTTTTTTGTCCTTAGTGGGTCTATCCAGAGGCTTGTCAATTTCAATAATTTGTTCAAAGGACCAACTATTTATTCCATTAATTTTTTTCTATTGTCTTTTTGTTCTCTTTTGTCATTTAATTATGCTCTAATTTTATTATTTCTTTCATTCTGCAGACTTTTGAGTTTGCAATCTTCTTTTTCTAGGTATTTAAGTTAAAATGTTTGGTGATTTATTTAAATTTTTATTATTATTTTATTTTCCATCACCATTTACCCCCCCCCATAACCTCTTCCACCTCCTTCCTCCTGCCGCAATCACCACACCATTGTCTGTGTCAATGAGATGTTTCTCTCTTTTTTTTCTTTTTTGCTCAATCCCTCCACCCCCCAAATCTCCACCCCCATCAGACATGTCTGCCTGGTCTCTATCTATGAATCTGTCTCTATTTGTTAGTCTAGTTTGTTCATTAAATTCCACATATGAGTGAAATTATATGGTACTTGTCTTTCTCTGATGGCTTATTTCATAACATTCTCCAGGTCCATTCATGTTGTCACAAAGGGTAAAATTTTCTTCCTTTTTTATGGCCAAGAAGTATTCCTGTGTGTAAATGTTCCATTGCTGTCTTGCCCATTCCTCGACTGCTTCCACATGTTGGCTTTTGAAAATAATGCTGCAATGAACATCAAGGTGCATATATTCTTTTGAATTAGTGTTTTGGGTTTCATTGGATAAATTCCCAGAATTAGAATCTCTGAATCATAAGGAAGTTCCATTTTTAATTTTTTGAGGTAACTTCATACTACTTTCCACAGGTTATTTATAGTATTTTTATTTTATTTTTTTTTAGGTAGGCCTGTAATGATATCTCCCAAATTTTGATATGTCATATTATCATTCTAATCTGTCTCTAGGTATCTTGTTATTGCTTCCTTCATTTCTTTTTTGACCCAACCACCATTTAGTAGCACGTTGTTTATTCTCCATCTATTTGTGTGTTTTTCCACTTTTGTTTTGCAGTTGATTTCCAATTTCAAAGCATTCTTGTCAGAGTATATGCTTAGTATGACTTCAATCTTCTGAAATTTGTTGAGGCTAGCTTTGTGTCCTAACATATACTCTGACCTTGAGAATGTTCCATGTGCACTAGAAAAGAATATCTTTTTGGTGTTCTGAGATAAAGAGCTCTGTAATATCAATTATGTTCACTAGGTCTAATGTATTATTTAAGATTGATATTTCCTTATTGATTTTATGTTTGTATGATCTATGTATAGCTGTAAATGGGGTATGTAGGTCCCCTACAATAATTGTACTTTTGTTAGTTTCTCCTTTTCGTTCTATTAGTAGTTGCTTTATATAGTTTAGTGTTCCCAGGTTGGTTGCATATATATTGAGTAGTTTTACTTCATCTTGATATATTATCCTCTTTATCATTATAAAATGTCTATCTTTGTCTCTTATTACCATTTTATCTTGAAATATATTTTATCAGATATAAGTATGGCCACACCTGCTTTTCCCTGGATGCCATTTTAATGGAGTATCATTTTCTACCCTTTCACTTTGTTATTTATTTGTCTTTGTAGCTAAGATGTATCTCATGAAGGCAGCATATAGCTGGGTTTTAGTTTTTGATTCTACTTTGTGTATTTTAACTAGTAAATTCAATCCATTGAGGGTGATTACTGATATATGAGTACTTTCATTTTATCTTTGTCCTCTGGTATTGCTGTGTCTCCATTGTTTCTTTTCCCTTGTGTTTCCTTCTGTTTTAGTTTGATGGTCTTCTATAATGTTTTACTCCATTTCCTTTTTTCTCATGTCAGGTGTTTCAGTTATAGATATTTTTGTGTGTATGGTTATCATTAAGTTTATGCAAAAGAAAGTTTCATGTATTCAATAGTCTCTTTTGTTCAGATTTCATTTTATCTCCATTCACCAGTGTAAGTTCTTTCAAATTTCGCTGTAAGTGGTAACACATTTGTTTCATGTATTGTTTTTTTTTTTAGGTCATATTAAATCTAGAAAACAAGATGAAGCAATGACAAACGTTATACGTGGTGAAGGTTTTAATATTATTGATGTAACAAAATATGAAACAATAGCAGCCATGGCCAACCTGGCTGTGGTAAACTGTCAAATACATGGAAGAAATGCTCTTAATCTTAAGGTATGCTTGATATTTTAATGGCAAGTTTTTATTGTATCATCAATTATATTTGCTTTAGGTTTCCTAACTTAGGTTAGTTTTCATAATATTAAAAGTATCTTTCTTATTGCAATAGAGATTTTCCAGGAGCACATTAAAATCGCATCTCTAAACCTGTCTGTCCCAGTTTGCCTTCATTCCAGTTTTTAAAAATACTCACATCCAAAACAATTATAGTGCTTTAAAATAAAAAAAAAAAACTGGTTTCAAAATGTGAGATTCAGAATTATCATATTTTTAAGTTATCAACAATCTTTGCCCTTTGGCCAACTCTAGCATTAAGGGTAGCTTTTCACTGAACGCAAGTTCAGTATAAGGAATAACAGTAATAATAGTTACCATTTATTAAGCAATCAATATGTGCAAAGCAAATATTATTCCTAAAACTTATAATTCAACCAAAAACAACAACCTTACAATTTAGCAAAGTAGGTAACAATATTCATTTTACAGAAGAGAGCCCTGAAGCTCAGTGAAAGTAACCTGCACAATACCACACAGCAAGCTAATGGCAAAGCTTGGGGTTGAACCTAGAACTCTTTGGCCTCAAAATCTATTATCTTCTATGCTGAATTTTATTTTGAAATGAGTTCAAACTTGTTAAAAATGGCGAAAATAGGAAAAGTAGCAAGGAGAGGTTTTTTTTTGTTTTTTTTTTGAAAATCAGAACATTCAAAAGTGCCTATATATACTGGTAAATTTTGAAAATCATGGATATGCCCAGGGGAGGATGCATACTTAAAAAAGACCTGAGAATATCCTAAACTTTTAGCTTTGTTGATCTCTAGGTGCAGCATAACTGGGATGTAAAGGCTAAGGCAGAGTTGTAAATGGCCTCTGTAAGCACTGAAGGGATGTCCTTGCATAGAGCTAATCTGAAATAATCTGATAGAGTGTTGTTTTCTCCCTTTGTGTACAAAGAAATCTCTGTCAAAACACTAACTTACCACAAGCTAAAGGAGAAGTATTTCAAAGAGAACACATATAAAAGGATTTAGACTTAAAAAAAAAAAAGTTTAGAAAAATCACTAGACAAGCCAACAGCTACAGACCACAACAAGCAACAAAAACAAACCCCGAAAAGAGGGAAGAACCTGATTTTTATAATTGCTATATTATAATATTCAAAGTGTCCAGTTTCAAAAAAAATTGTAGAACATGCAAAAATAAATAAATATGGCTCATTCACAGAACAAGTGAACAAAAACTGTCTCCAAGGAAGCACAGACACTGAATTTACTAGAAAAACATTTTAAATCAACTGTCTTAAATATGCTAATAAAGAGCCTCGGCCAGGGTGGCTCAGTTGGTTGGGTATAACCCTATGCACGAAAAGGCTGCTGCTCTGGTTTTCAGGCTCAGTCCCTGGTAGGAAGGCATGTAGGAGATGGCCGATCAGTGTTTTGCTCTAAAATGACTATATCTCTCTCTAAAAATAAATTTTTAAAATATGCTGAAATAAATAGAGAAAATCATGAACAGAAACTAGAGAGAACCAGAAGACTAATGTGTGACCAGACATTATTAATAAAGAGATATAAATTACAAAAAGGAACCAAAAATAAATTCATGGGGGTACATATATTCTTTCTGACTGGTGTTTCAGGCTCTTTAGGGTATATTCCTAGAAGTGGGAATACTGGGTCAAATGGAAGTTCAATTTTTAAATTTTTGAGGTAACACCATATTGTTTTCCATAGTGGCTGCACCGGTCTGCATTCCCACCAGCAGTGTACTAGAGTCCTCTTTTCTCCACACCTTCGCCAACACTTGTTGTTTGATGATTTGTTGATGGTGGCCACTCTGACAGGTGTGAGGAGATACCTCATTGTTGTTTTAATTTGCATCTCTCTGATGATTAGTGATGTTGAGCATTTCTTCATATGTCTCTTGGCCATTTGTATTTCCTGTTTGGAGAGGTGTCTATTCAGCTCTTCTGCCTAATTTTAATTGGGTTCTTTGTCTTCCTTTTGTTGAGTTGTATGAGTACTCTATATATTTTGGAAATTAACCCCTTATCTGATATATCATTGGCAATGATGTTCTCCCAATGATGTTCTCTCCATAAAATGGTTATCTTTCCATTTTAATGGTTGTTTCTTTTGCTGTGGGAAGCCTTTGAGTTTGATGTACTCCCATGTGTTCATTTTCTCCTTTGTTTCTGTTGCCTTAGGTAACATATCAGTGAAAATTCTGCTGCATATGATGTCCGAAATTTTGTTGCCTACATTTTCTTCTAGAATTTTTATGGATTCATGGGCCACATTTAAGTCTTTTATCCATTTTGAGTTGATTTTTGTGTATGATGTAAGTTAATGGTCTAAGATTCATTTTTTGCATGTACCTGTTTAATTTTCCCAACACCATTTATTAAAGGGGCTGTCTTTTCTCCATTGTATGTTCTTGCCAACTTTGTCAAATATTAATTGAGAATAGTATCTTGGGTCAATTTCTGGGTTCTTTATTCTGTTCCAATGATGAACTCACAGAAAGAGAAAGTGAAAAAACAATTCCATTTACCATCACAGCAAAAAAAAATTAAGATACCTAGTAATGAACTTAACCAAAGAAGTAAAGGACCTATTTGCAGAAAACTACAGGTCATTGAAAAAAGAAATAGAGGAAGATATAAAAAAGTGGAAGCACATACCTTGTTCATGAATTGAGGAATTAAAATCATTAAAATGTTCATATTACCCAAAACAATCTATAGATTCAATGCAATCCTCATCAAAATACCCACGACATATTTCACAGAAGTAGAATAAATACTTCAAAAGTTAATATGGAACCAAAAAAGACCCCGAATAGCCACAACAATCTTGAAAAAGAAGGACAAAGTAGGTGGAATCACATTACCAGATTTCAGTTCTGTGAATTATATCATTAGTATTTTGATGGGGATTGCATTGGATCTATAGATTGCTTTGGGTAGTATGGACATTTTAATGTTAATTCTTCCAATCCATTAACAAGGTATGTGCCTCCACTTTTTTATATCTTCCTCTATTTCTTTTTTCAGTGACCTGTAGTTTTTTGAAAATAGGTTCTTTCTTTAATTACATTTATTCCTAGGTATCTCAATTTTTTTGCAACAATGGTAAATGGGATTGTTTTCTTAGTTTCTCTTACTGTGAGTTCATCATTGGTGTATAAGACTGCTGTCGATTTCTTGACATTAATTTTGTATACTGGTACTTGGCCAAATTCATTTATTATGTTTTGTATATTTTTGAAGGAGTCTTTGCACATGACAAGATAGTATACATAGAAAACCCCAAAGACTCCTTTTGGGGTTTTCTATGTATACTATCTTGTCATGTGCAAATAATGACACTTTCACTTCCTCCTTTCCAATTTGGATCCCTTTTATTTTATTTTTCCTGTCTGATTGCTGTGGCTAAGACTTCCAGTACTATGTTAAATAAGAGTGGTGAAAGTGGGCATCCTTGCCTTGTTCCTGTTCTTAAGGCAAATGCTATTAGTTTTTTCCCATTGAGTATGATGTTGGCTATAGGTCTTTCATATATGGTCTTTATTATGTCTAGATATGATCCCCCTATTCCCACATTGCTGAGAGTTTTTATCAGAAATGGATGCTGGATTTTGTCAAAGGCTTTTTCAGCATCTATTGATATGATCATGTGGTTTTTATTCTTCATTTTATTTATGTGGCGTATCACATTTATGGATTTGCAAATATTGTACCAGCCTTGCATCCCTGGGATGAATCCCAGTTGGTCATGGTGGATAATTTTTTTGGTGTATTGCTGGATCCAATTTGCTATATTTTGTTTAGGATTTTGGCATCTATGTTCATCAGGGACATTGGCCTGTAGTTTTCTTTCCTTATAGTGTCTTTTTCTGGTTTTGGAATTAGAATTATGCTGGCTTCATAAAACGCGTTTGGAAGTCTTCCTTCTTCTTGAATTTTTTGAAATAGTTTGAGGAGAATGGGTATTAGTTCTTCTTTGAATGTTTGGTAAAACTCCTCCGTGAAGCCATCCAGGCCTGGGCTTTTGTTTGCTGGGAGAGTCTTGGTTACATCTTCAATTTCTTCTGTTGTTATTGGTCTGTTCATGTTTTCTATCTCTTCCTGGTCCAGTTTTGGGAGACTATGTGTTTCTAGAAATTTGTCCATTTCACTTAGATTGTCAAATTTGTTGCCATATAATTGTTCAATGATCTTTTGTATTTCTGTGGTGTCAGTTGTTCTTCTGTTTCATTTCTGATTTTGTGTATTTGGGTTCTCTCTCTTTGTTTCTTTGTCTATCAATCTTGTTTATATTTTTGAAAAACCAGCTCTTTGTTTTATTGATCCTCTGAATTGTTTTTTTTGGTCTCTATGTCATTTATTTCTGCTCTGATCTTTTCTATTTCCTTCCTTCTACTTGCTCAGGGGTTTTCTTTTTGTTTGCTCTCTAGTTCTTTAAGTTGTGAGGTTAGATAGTCTATTAGAGATTTTTCTTGTTTTTTGAGGTAGGCCTGTAGTGCTATGAACTTCCCTCTCAGAACTGCTTTCGCTGCATCACATAGATTTTGTGTCATTGTGTCTTCATTTTTATTGGTTTCCAGGAAGTTTTTGATTTCTTCCTTGATCTCCTCGGTGACCCATTCATTGTTTAATGCTATTTAGCTCCATGTGTTTAAATGTCTTTGTATGTTCTTCTTGCTATTAATTTCTAGTTTCATGCCATTGTGATCTGAGAAGATGCTTGATGTGACTTCAGTCATCTTGATCTTGTAGAGACTTAGTTTGTGCCCTAACATGTGGTCTATCTTTGAGACTGTCCCATGTGCACTGAGAAGAATGGAATTCTGTAGTTTTGGGGTGTAATTCTCTGTAGATATCAATTAAATTCATTTAGTCTAGTGCTTCATTTAGAGTCTCTGTTTCCTTGCTAATTCTTTGTCTATAGGATCTATCCAGTGATGTGAGCGGGGTGTTGAAGTCCCCTGCT